ACATGCATTGAACTAACAGCTGCAGCACAAGCAATAGCAAAAAAGGTCAGAATTCAATTCTATTCTCAGAAATTCCATGTAGAAACACATTTTCTCTGTCATTTAGCAACAAGAATGGTTTACAAAAGCAAAATTATCTTTACAGCAATCAATGAATAAATCGATGGAAGTGCGGACTAATAATGAAGACACCATAACTGAAACAATTACAAAAGCTTTTGATTATCTACGTTCGATGATCAACATCCGTGAGAATGAGCTGAAACTAGTAGTTTGTGCTATCAAAAAATCAAACCATGATTTAATTGAGAACGTTCCAACATGGCTTAAGAACAAACATGAAGAACTAAACAAACGAATCAGGGACTTTGAACTTATTCTTTCGACTAATGATTATATGAAACTTTTACAAGATCATCAAAAAACAATGAACTACTTAAAGACAACCACAGAGGAATCAAATGAATTAAAACATCCTATTAAGACTGAATATCATACTGAGGGAATTGACCAGTTGCAAAAAGTTGTCGCTGATAGTCTACAACGAACCTTCATTACTGACCGACAACAAGGTAATTTGAAATTTTTACTTACTGTTATGCCAAAAGAAAAACGTTTTGCTAGCTTTTTAAACGTCTTCAAATGCATATGAGATTTCATTCTGCTTTTTAGCATTTCTCACCGAAATCTCTGTTTCTCATTCACGATCATATAAAAACTGAAATCAAATTCGACCTATAATTTCTTTAATTTCTATAAAATCTATATTATTTAAACATCTTATATTTGATCCTTTATTTCAATTCTTTTTCTATTTTATCTATATTATATCGAAGAAAGTAGATAAATATCCAATGTTCACCCGGTTTTATTCGAGTCCAAGGGAAATTTCGTTTATAAAACTTTGTTTCTAGATAGAACTCGGAGATCACTTCGGTAGTTATCGATATAGTTGGAAGATAAGTGTGGATGCGGAGGAAGATGCCAGTGTAAGTATTCTCGACCCTTACACGCACCCACAGCCACACACTGGTCACCACTGTAAGCCGTAGTTTTTATATGACACCAACCTGTGAGATTTAGAATCCGTCAAGGACTCTTCAAGGTGGTCGAATAAAGAGAATATTTCGTTGTTATCTGTTTCCTTTGAAACCTCTTAAAACGTCAACCCATACTTGAAGGTTCTATCCTCTTCGTACTCACAGTTAATCATTTTCTATTGTCCTCTGCTCGTCTTATCAAAGTTAAGACGAACTCGCTCCTTATTTCATAGAGCAATGCGTTCTTATTCTACTTTTTGTTTGTCTTCCTCTCTTCAATTTTTACAAACAACAGGCTTATACAGCAGTTGTCCCTTGGTTCAGCTTCGCTGTCGAAGATACAACCTCTTCTCAATAATAGCAGTATTCATGAAATAAAATCGAATAAATATATATTTCTAATTTTGACGAGACTCAGCGCTAAATCTTTGTAATATGCATCTAACGAAAGCATAAACCACTCAAAAATGAAAAAGATATTGCTAATTGCCTTTCTTTTATCGCCATCCAAATGCAGCCTTCCATTCTAATAATTTTACTGTTCTAAAATTCGAATAATTAAAAAAAATGACAACTTATCGAATTACAAAATTCTGAGAATTTCCAAATCTACCTCTCTCAAAAGTTTTCGTCATTACATCATCGTCCGCATTCTACATTCCCATCAAATTCTAAAGTTGTAAAAATTACGGAATATCGAAAGTTTCTTAATATCCAGTATCTCATAGCTTCGATTATCTGCATCCTTCGGCAATTTGTTATCCCAAACTCCTCTGGAATACCGTTTGCTTTTCGTTAATTTCAAAAGTTCGATAACTTAATCCGTTCTCAAAGTCATCTCCTCCCATAAATCCCAACATTCAATATGTCATGTCTTTTAAAAGAAAATGAAAGTTTTTGACTTTGGATTTTTCCATCACTTCGACTATTTCGCTGTTGCAAAAATATCAGAATGTCCATTATTCTGATTATTCTAAAAGTGCTAATTGTTTCAGAAAAATTCTTGTTAATTTAAAACTCAGTTCATACTAAAATTCCGACAACACCAACATTATGAGATTTACCGATTCCCTCTATTTCAAAGTCACGATAATTGAAAGACAGAGATTATTCCAACATTTGAACGACAAATTTGCAGGATTTCTTTCTTGGGAATATACCGATGATAGGAAAATTCATACAATTGCAATAGTCTGATACATCCGAAATTCCTCACTTCCGAAGTGGTTTTCCTACTAAAAAAGCGCAATAAATGCACACGTTCCATAATTGAGAAATGCTTCGATGTTCGGGAACCACTTGTTTCAATGTAACACAACGTTTCTTTCTTTCGTTTCTATTCTGCCTATGGACTTCAATCATTAAATATCTGCGGATAGAATTGTGATGATCGACTAGTCTACCTTTTTTTGCAACAGACAAAATTCTAGAAACCTTCATCAAAAAATACTCGTCACCCATTTCTGCATAGATAAATTTGATGACATGCTGCTGTATGCAGCCTATTCGCATATAGGCATAAACCTTATGCAGGCAGAAACGTCCCCGAGTCTTAACATGCCAGGTTAGATTTTAAGTGCGCTGAGTCCTTTCGAAGTTTCTCTCGGAAACGCTGTTCTAAGAATAAGGTCGCATCATTTGTTCTATTTCAGATTCGAAGTCATTTAACAGTCAAATATAGCATCGAGGTTCATTTTCTTTTGTTATTTTTTCATTCTACCGTCAAATGATCCAAAGAGAAACGAACGAAGTAAACAAGTAATGGCTGTTCTTTTGTTTACGTGTCCAAAACGAATCTGTGATGTATGCGTGGATACGAATGAGTGTATGAGTCTTCCACTCACAGTTACCCCCTCATCTATATTCACAAGCAGTAGGAGAAATATTTATCCGGTAGTGGTTGCTTGGTCAGGGTCTGCATACTTCGTTGTTTTCTTTACAATAGAATTCCTTATTCATTTCTACCAGAAGCGTTTGATCAATTTCGACTGCATATGACATTATCCAACTGAATTCTTTGAAGATTACTAGTAGAAAGCACTATTGATCACAATGGAACTAATTGAAATGGGATTTTACCGATCATCATGATGACTCCGCGAACGACTCAAACGACTAATAGGAATCTTGAATCAAACATGATATGAATGAGCTCTTCGCGATTCTAATCTCATGTTTATTAAGAAAACATAAGCAACAAAAACTTGCCGAGTATAGAACAAGCAAATGTGACAGCATTGTACTACATGAACTGTAGAAAAAAAATTATATAATCAATATTTGTGAATATATCCTTTAGTTTTCTCAGGTGAAAGTTAAATCTGTTTTAGAACTCTTCCCGTACAATTCTGTATGAAATCGGATGAATCGTATATCTATAAAAGAAAACAAAGGGATGCGGAAATTGAAGAAACACGGGGCAGCAGAAAGTCAGGCTTACAATGAACTTGTTTCCAAAGAATTAAGCCCCCCTCCCTCAAGAAAAGTCAATTTTCGTCAGAACCGTCAAAATTGAGATAAATACATGGGGAGATAGCCCGTTATTTGCTCTTTCATAAACGATAAAAATTTTTCTTCGATACCTTATTTTTTTCAGAAAATTTTCGAGATTCCTAACAACCCCTATTCGAAAAATCAGCGTTTTTTTGAAACAGGAAAAAATCTTTTTCGTTTTTCTCATTTTTCACTTTCTCAAACGCGCATCCAAAATTTCTCTTTCAAAGTTCATCCAATATATTAAATTTTTTTTTGTTTGAGAGAGCATCTAAAGATGCAGGCTATGACGAGGCCAGTTTTTCCAATTAGGCCTTTTTTCTTTATACACATAGGCATTTCTATAAATTGACAGCACTTTTTCGAGGGTATTTTCATTCATCAAACTTTCGATCCCTTTTTTGCGCTTGAAAACTGGGTATTTAAAAAATTGAGCCATGTCATGCCCTGCATCTTGACATGCTCTTTCAAACAAAACACAAATTTAAATATATTGGACGGGTCAGGATCGAGAAATTTGGGATGCCAAATCACCTATTTTTCACCCTCGTTTGATCACTATCTCGCTTAAAACTCATAATTTCTGGCTGAAAATTTTATCATAGCTTTCCCACTTTAAGTCCAACATATTCTCAAAATTTCAGGCCATTTAGATATTTCTGGGCCGAGATCGATTTTTTGAGGGGCGGGGGCGGGGGCAGGCTTAATAGACATTGTGTTACATGACCGAGCGAGCGCCGCACCAGGTAGAAGTTTTTCTGTGATTTCAACTACGTTCTTTCTCACAGTACTATGTGAATTTTGCTTAATTAAGGATCCGATAAACAACAACAATCACCTTTCCATTATGAGCTTCTCTACCCAAAACTTTTGTTGACATGTATTCTTGGTTAAATAATTTGGGATATATTGCTGAGATAATAAAATAAGAATTTCTCTTTCAAGTGAGCAAAAATGCATCATAAAAAGCGAAAGACATTAACAAGATAATTTTGAAGCTTTCGAATAAGCTCGTGATCTATAGGCAAGTATCTACTATTTTGTCTGTGGACCTCAGCGTGAAAGAAATGCACACTAATATGATGATTGAGAGAACGTTTTTCAAGAACTAAAAAAACTGATATATTCTGCTTGTTAATAATCGATACGGTTTGCTACTAAAGCAGGGAAAAATTACAAAATAATTGCTTGAAAGATGGGTGCGAATGTATGAGGAGATTAGTTATATTCTCATTCCATATGTATCACGTCTACAGTCATGTCCACGTACCCTCACTCTCATATCTCAGACCCTGAAGCAACCTAAATTAGCCTTTCGAATTCGCCAATCAATAAACTATTTTCTGCTAGTGCATTTACTGCAAGTGACAAATCCAGTACCATACCCACCAGTAATGGATACGTCACCGGTAATTTAATTTATTTCATATGAACTTAAAAGAAAACCAATCTTATTATATTAAGTATATGAATCAACCAATATACAATGGTTATCCTCATCCATTTTATATTCCTTCAATTGTTCCTCCGCGACAATTTATGCATGCATCAAATCTTCCATCAAATGTAGGTTTTACGGAAAAAAAGAATAAATTTCCATATGTAGTTAATCTTCATTAATAGAATCCTCCATCTATACCTATTCATCCATCATTGAATGAAAAGTTATCTAATTATACACATTTTATCCCACCATATATATATCCATCAGCATATGCACCTGGAAATGGTAGTCTTCGATCTACAGCACATGGTTTAAAGCGAACACCCTTTCCAAGTAAACCTTATACAATTTATGAAATCAATGAATTTTAGTTTTGTTTCTTTTAAAAAGTTTATCCAATTTCAAGAAATAATCCAACACCAAAAGTACCAGAAATTCCTTATCAAGGACCAATACTACGACAACCATTATATGGAATACCTCGCATACAACAACCACCGCAAGGTCATTCATTAGAACGAAATCAATATATGCTAGTGAATATTAGAACGCGATGCCATAAAAATTAATTATCTTCATTTTCTCATAGATTGATGAGTCAACTTTATCAACATGTCAGTCTTCAATAGTAGAAACCATGCAATCAGCTCATTCATGTGTGCCCACAGTACAACCAACAGCACCTGAAAAACAAAAACAACAATTGCATATTGTTGAAATGGTATCACATAAACAATCAGAAGTTTCAACGCAATCTATGCGATCGTCGACTCCGACAACTATTACCTCATCTATATTTTCAACGACAACAGGAAGTGAAGATTGTTCAACCGATTCTACGACTACGGATTCAGCTGTATCAAATACTAAATCGGCAAATGATTCAACTATAATACAAAAGCAAGATGAATTTCAAGGACAAACGACTGATTTTATAAGAGATTGTTGCAATGCTCAGAAGGATAAGGTATTTAATGAAGAGATCGTCAACATTAAGATTGGCAATGTCTTTTCTGAAATGAAAATCTTATTCGTGAGCGATTAAATGTAAACAAAAGCGTATGAGGCGTTATATAAGTTTCCAGGAAAGTCCATGGGCTTTTCTCACAACAGAATTTCCGGAAAGGCAAATTGGATTTCCGGAAATAACAGTTGACTTTCCCAAACCAAATGGATCTCCGGAAACGCAAATTGACTTTGCGAAAATCAATTTTTTTTCCAAAAACCCGAAACAATTTCCACAGGGCAACGCATTCATATGATGCGTTATATTAGTTTTCAGGGAACTCAATAGGTTTCTCGACGCAAAATCAATCTCGGGAAACTGCATTCCGTTTCCCTAGTGGACATACTAGGCATAACGGACATAATGGACATAATCTGCATCGTGGACATTGAGTGCTGCGCACAGAGTCACACCACATCTCTCTCGATATGGGTGCCGCGGAAGTAGTCACACTTCATCGCTCTTGGTTTGCCTTTTGCACAATACGTCCATCAAGCACACTACAGACATTATGCCCATTTTGCCCGGCTCCCAGTCAAGTTGAAAAAAAGGAGTTTTCTGGAAGCTAATTGAACGGGTCAAATCAACAAGACAAACATTTTATTTTGTTTTCAGTTTCGCTCTTATCTATTTAGGTAAAAAAACAACTTTTAGTTGAATTAACGGAAGTCTTTAGAAACTAAATTAACGTTTATATTTGAGTCAATACAAGTCATCTTAATAAGTACTTTTATGTTTTCCTGCAAAACATATTTTTAATATGAAGCCGAAACAGTGAATTGCAGAATTCGTGAGGAAAATCAAATAAACAATTCAAAATTGAATGTTTTTCAGAAGAGTTTTATAGATATATAATTTTAGTAGGTCTGAAAAACTCTACTAACGACAGTCTTTCCTATTACTTCCGTATGAGTTTAGTTACTTTTTTGCCTACAAATACTTCTCATATTTCTTCAGAAAAAAAACAAACAATATATATTAATCGATTCAATTCACGTCGATGAAATAGTGGCATACACATGTTATCGTTGAACCGTATTTGTAACAAAATATGCACTTTTATATTTCGTGCTATGCTGGTTGCGATGTCGATATCTCATAAGACATAAGAATTCAGCAAAATTTAAGATTCTCACGGAATAAATAAAAACTTCACGTGACTCTCATTTTAGATTATACTTTGTCTCAAATAAGTTTCAAATTTTCCTGAGTTCCAGTTGCATCTGTAACAGCTCTATAGTTATTTGGCTGAAGAATAAGCTTAATAAAATATATGAATAACTTCCGAATATGAAATTTTGTATTGTGGAATAACTAATGCAGCTAACATAGACACAGAATATATGATTATACTAATACATTTGACTGTCCATGATCATCTTAAGTCATGATGGTCACGTCAGGTGCCGTTGAAGAATATAAAAGAAAAAAACCGAAAAATGCTTTATAATAATAGCAACACATAAAGAAGAAGTTGATTAAGTGCTCATGTTCTTTTCAAAATAGATATGTGCATTAATAAATTATTTTGAAAAAATCTGTTATCGGATTCAGATGTGAGATACAATGCAGTTGCAATTATCTTCATCTGAATTTCGTTTAATCCTCGAAAAAGGCAATAAGAAAGCAGTTAATATATTAGTGCAAACTTATACTCGAATGGGAAAGTACAGATTTGGAACCCCCAATACATCAGCACCTTTGCGCACTTTAAGCGATTTTTTCAGCATCTCGTCATAAAATTTGATGCCTAGATGCTAAAAGGTTAGTGCTGCATATAAGCACCAAGTTTTACTGCGAAATGTTGAAAAAACCGCTAAAAGTGCTCTGAGATACTGGGAATTCCAAATGTGCACGTACCCCCTTGCTTTTCCTAGTATCCGATTTTTGATCAGTATAAACAATTTAGGACACCGATGCTAGTACGAATGTGTCTGGGTGAGTAATATGCTCATACCATCAGCAGGGGTCGCAGCAGCCTAGTAGGCAAAATCAGGAATCAGGACAGGAATTTTCAAGAAAAAAATCAGGATTTGAGATCATAAATCAGGAAATCAGGATTTCCAAAT